TCTTTCATGTATACATGCGTTCCTTCCTTCCTTCCTTCCTTCCTTCCCTCACTCACTCACTCACTCACTCACTCTGCATTCATTTCATTTCATTTCATTTCATGTCATGTCATTTCATGTCATTCATATCATTCATGCACGCGTTCCTTGGTTGATTGATTGATTGATTGATTGAATCATTCATTTCATTTCATGTCATTTCATTTCAGTCATGAATGCGTTCCTTGATTCATTCATTCCTTCCTTCCTTCATTGATTCATTCATTCATTCATTCATTCATGCATCCATCCATTCATTCATTCATTTATACAACCCAGCCAAGCGCGTGTACAACCGAGCAGCGCGTGCACAACCAAGCAAACCCTTACGCGCGCGCAGGCGAGCAAATCCCGCGTGCACAGCCGAGGTTCCGCCCTACCTCTGGAGTTAATTCACACCGCTTCGCGCTGGAAGCCGCCCGCACAAATTAAACGTGTCAAATGTAGCAGTAGCAGGGATGCCACTAGTAGAGGGGTTCAGGATTGTGCCTGGAAGCAGTAGCTAGAAGCCCACGAGGATACGGGTTGGTTATTGGCGAGGGAAGCAGCCCCTTGTGTTCTCAGAGCCGTTAGGAAGCGCAGTTATTGGTGAGGGAAGCAGCAACTCGTGCTCTTGGAAGCGGAGTAACCGCCGGGCTCAAGCGTGAAGAAGTGCAGAGTGAAGAAAACACGGCGACCAAACTTGGGGCACCACATGGTACTACTGGTTAGTGCTGCAGTATTAGAAGGCCACTAGTGTACTGGGTGGGTAATGGGTCGGGAAGTAGCAGCGATGGGTAAATCGGAGCGTAGTTCAGCTTTATTTGGGGTGCCGCAAGTATACTGGCAGAGTCTGGGTGGCCGCAGCAATGGGTAATGTGATGGACGTTGGCGGCTGCCATGCACACAGCTTAGTAGCTCTACCACCCATTTACCCCCACAATAGCTGTCCAAAACGAACACACACAATATCAATCACCTATTTCCCCAAATTTCCCTCCACAAAAGCTGTCCGCGACGACCACACACACGATATCAATCGCCTGTTTCCTTGAGATAAGCTTTTGTCGGCCAGACAGCCTGGACGAACACGTGTACACGATGTCAATAAATACAGTCTCCCCCGGGATGCATAAGCGGCATCGCGAACGTTTACCTCCGAAGCCATACGGACAATCATACACACGATATCACTGTTTATCCATGCTCCCCCCCAAAAAAACAAAAAATAAACTCAAAAACACACCATTTCCCGAACATAAACGGGCCCCCCCAAGCTAAGAACTACCACGCCCAAGGTCCAAATGAAAAGAATTAAATCAAGAGTTAATTCTGCTAGAGTCTGGAAAAGACGCATGTTGAAGGCTCAGCCAAACGAGAGAGTAGTTTGTTTAGTTCATCCCAGTCCGGATAGCCAAACCTCTACAGCCGCCAATAGCGAGCTTCAGTTCACCAAAAAATAGATCGAGCCGAAAGTCCGTTCTGCAAGCTTCGAACCGCTCGTTCCACTCCCCGATGCCTTGCGCTCTTCCGTCGGCATGTTTGCAAGTTGCGATTGCAACCGCAGCCTTGCGATTACAAAAGGCAGTCATACCACGTCATGCCACAAACACCAAAGCGACGCCTAGCCAACAAACATCCTCCACCTCAGGATTTCCCTGTTGCTGGTCCTCTGGAAACTATGACCATGATAATGATTCTGTGTCATCATTGGATATATAACAGTTGATCTCTTCGGTCTCTTGGTTGCGCTCCGTTCCACAGTGAAACAAGGTCACGGGTGCCATAACGGCTCCTCTGTTTTTGCGTGCTTTTAGAAATAAGAGTTGTGCGAAATGCAGGCTTTGTATTAGCATCCTTGTTTTTGTTTGGCGGTAGTGGGGGTCCTACGTTATTTAAGGCATTGACCCGACTTTTCGCCTGGGGAATCTTCGAGGTGGTCTGTTTTTGGGGTAACATCTCAACAGGAATCACAGTGGCATGCTATGTTCAAGAGGTTTTTCGAAGAGTTGGTTTTTTTTGATTCGTGTTTGATCGACTGCAAGGCGAAGATAGAAAGTTGACACGAACGTCGTTACCCCAGCATACCCCAGCCCACCCCACCCCGTAGCATTGCGGGACACGTCGGCACCCGCCAGGTGAAACAGGCTGGCGACCCCCCCTCAACTCAGCCACGTTTGCACTTGGAGTCCGCACTGACCCAGCTCCGAGGCCAGGGCACGGAAAAGGTTCCACCTCAGCTTCCCGATCAAACATCCACAACGATCGACAAACATACACAGGATTCGTCACAGGATGGAACTTCATCCAAACCATTCTCTGTTGTCCTCCACGCCCAGCTCCAAACTCTGCGGATTGACGCATGGCGACGTAGTTCACATCCCCACCTCACAACGTCTGTTCTCCTTCATGTGCCGTTCTGCCTTCGGCACAGCTGTTCCAGATCTCATTTCTCCGTCTTAGCCTTGGACTCTCGGGGTCAGAGAAATTATCCAAGAGTTGCAGCATCGACTGTCGCAGCAAGGCCTCAGCAAATTCCGTTAAGAAAATAAAATGCTAAGGAACTTAAAAAGGTTCGCCAAATTAGAGAAAATTGAGCATTTTTACAACGAAGTTCATGTTAGAAAAACATCTTCACCGCCATCTGTGGACCCCGGACTGCGAGCTGCTCCGCCGAGGCGTTCGGAAGTGCTGCAGGTGGGTCGCTGGAGCCCGGTGCCTCGGCTGTGACATTCGAAAGGGCTTGGGCTCTTCAAGGAAGAACTTGTTTCTTCCTTTTTGTCTATTTTGCTTAAATGTTCCTCAAGAAGACCTTTAGGCCCTTTAGGGTCCTTTAGGCCCTTTCTTGGGTGGAAACTTGATGTTTTCCTGTTTCTGTCTTTTCTCCAGTCTTTCTCAAGAGTGTGATCTGATTCACTTGAACTTCTGCGAAGTCCAGGTACCGCTGCTAAGTTCAACGGAACGTTCTGCGATTGGTCCTGCGAACTCACACTCCAGAGTCCCCCCTTTGGTCTGATCCCCTTTTGGTCTTCACCGGGCTAATCAATGGATGAATTTCCCAGTTTCACACTTCACAGCTGCAAATCTGACTGTTTAGTTTGTTGGCCAAATTCGACCTCTCACAAAGTCAGCAACATTGCTGACCAACGCAGGTCTCCCAAAATGGCCTGGCGCGGGCTGCGGGTAATGGCATATCGCAGGAAGCCTGACATGGTTGGCTTGCTGCCTGCCTCGCACATGCAGCCAATACCGCCCAACAGGTCACGTGCAACTGAAGGTGCATTAATATATCTACATATTTAGATACACAGATACACATATTATATGAAGATACAACACTTCATGGCTGATGTTTCAATTGGCGAAATGGCCTGGTACTGCAAGTTGGCCATCTCCTTGGGGAGGCCACGCGAGCAAGGTTTAATCGGTGGTTTCAGAGCGTTCATGTTGAGCCAGGACGCTACTACGCGCTCCTCACATCGCTACTAGGAACAAGAAGCTAGTAGGGAGATGAATAAAGCACAAGACACCTCGGCCCGCTGCAGGAGTTGCTGCTGGATAGCCTCTGTCAGGGCTCCAAAAACATCTACGGCTGTTTCATACATACACAAATGCCAAAGGTGGAATCACTAAGGCCTTGGGCAAAGTCGCAGCGACTATCTTCTCTGGAGGCGTTGGAGCGATGTAAACTTCGTCCTGTCAGAGCTTCAACACTGAGAATGCACACAGCTTCGTGACTGGGTCGTCATTTCCAGTCCGCACAACTGTTGCATCCGGCAGCCGCACCTGGGGTTCACGCTGGGTGGCCTCTATGAGCCGGCCTTGCTCATCCAGAAGCTTGAGAGCATCAAAGCCTGTCTCACGTGTCCCGGAGCATCTAGGTTTAGATGGGACACCCCATGGCTTAGAGCCCCAAAAAATGAAGCATAAAGACACTCGATTGAGGAGTTGCTCTGAGACAAAGTCAAATGAGTGGCTTTAGGGGCGTGTTGCGAATTGCAAATGGAATTCCATCAGCTCCTTCGCATCCTGCACATTCCCCAACCCCGTTTGCCTCCAAGACATTTTGAGCCCACCAGAATCTGCGGAAAGGTCGACATCGCGCCACGTTCGGTGGCCTCCGCGAAGCGCTCCGGCTCCGCACCTACATCCACCACGCCGAAACGTACCTGCCGTCGCGACAGCAAGGCCTTCGCCTTGGCGCAAAAGCTGCACCCCGGGCGGCTGAAGACGACCACGTCCGGTGATGTTGCAGTTGCCGTCGATGTTGCCATGACGCGACGCTGTCGATTCGCAGACCGCGGAAAGGCACCAGAGGCCGCTGTGCCACCAGCCACGGCTCCGGCAATACCACTGCGAAAGGCAGGGAGCAGGGAGGATGACCACGAGGATGATGACGGGGGCACGGAAGATTGGACCAGGCAAATGGATCGAATGGGCACCTGGCTGGACAAGGCTGGCACACGCATGGATGGTGATCTGGGCCCCTGGGCCCACTAAAGAAAAAGCGTCCCAATATTGATAAAGATTACATGTATAAATTGTATAAAAATTGATAAGAAGCCTCTCCATGGCAGCAACTGCTCTGGATCAAGGCATCACCGGAGAACCCGCCTGCACTCGGGGTGGCGTTCTACAAGGCACGTGGCGTACCAACATTGTCACATGGGAGCAAAGCTGAAGTTGGTCAACTGTTGTGCTCATGTCTCATGGGGGTCTCATTGGGGGGACCATTTCCCACCAAAATAGTTATATAACTCAGTGCTGACGCTCGTTCCTTTCCAGTGTTGACTTTCTAAGCGAGCACTGTTCTTTCATGCTCTACAGTTTTCCCGAATCGGCATGCAGTCCCTCCTAGATTGAGCTGAGAGAGCCTGGCCAAATTCAGGTCACGGATTTTGCCTTTTGCATGTTTTCCACATAAAGGACATGCAAGCCGGACAACGTATGGAAACAGTAGCAAGCCAGCTCATGCTGCCCATTTCTAAAGGACGACATCTGTGGGTCAAATGGCCTGATGGTAAAACAGTGGCGTCAAACATACGACAGGACTTGATGGAAGTCCGAAGGCAGCTGCAGTCCAAGCACTGTGCTGTTTCCATCTCTGGACCAAAATTGGGAGTAGTGACGTGTGGGAGACAAGCAATGACTGAACCCCTGACCAAACGTAATGCCAAACGTGCAAGCCATGTCATTCATCAGGCCCCAAACCAAATCCTCTTCGAAAAAAAGTGCTATGCCTTTATTGCTGGCCATGTTCAATCATCAACTTGAATGATTACAGTCAATGATGAGACCATTGGCCACCGTTTCCCCGCAAGTTGACAAGACCCTTTTGATTGGCTCCTAGGCTAAGCGAACCCCTGCATGCGCATGAGTGAAATATCAGAATGATGGAAGCTTTTCACAGATTGAAACTGAAACGGCATACCATTATTGTGGCTTACAGCCTAATACATGATACAGTAAGTCCACAAGCTATACACAGTAAATACAAACCCTCCTCACGGTCAGCATGGAGACTCTTTGCCCAAACAGACTGCAATTGCCTCGTCTCCTGCCTTCGCAGAAGTGCCCACGCTTCCATTGCAACGGTTGCAGCTTCCAATTTGGGATGGCTCTGGAACACCGGGTAAACCATATCATACTTAGTATACCGCGGGTCCATTTTGTTGTCATTTCGAGCCATCCCCAGTGCGGTCACAAGTCAGATTCAGTTCTCTAAGATCCTCAGTGTCTCCCCTACTGAAAGCTGCCCAAACAATACTGAAGGGACCGCGCTCATGTGCTTCTTGCTGCATCAAGCTGCAGTGCTGGCACCCGCTGCAAGGTAGGAATTCATCTAATTTAGTGCACTTAAACAGGAGACTTCGGCAAACGACAGGAATCTCAAACTCTGCATGCTCCTTGCGCAGTGTCTGCTAGAGGGCTGCCAGATCCACAAATGGGACATTTTATCACCTGACTTTTGGGTCAAAAGCCTTGTGCCCTGAACTATGTGACGGTGCCACCATCAGCAAAATGTGCACATCCATATGACAAACTGGGCGAGGAACGGAGCAGATGAATTCCAAAAGAGCGCTTGCCGCAGCTCGCAGGAACGCAATGCGGGAGCATGGGCGCTTCCACATCCATTGACACAAGTGGTTGTGGGGCACACCTGATAATCATAGATACAGTATGTATGTATAATTTATACATAGTGTGGGAGAGAACGTCAGCAATATCCAGTTGGTACCGAAGTTATTTAAGGATCTGAACCGATCCTCTGTCTAAATTTGGCACTTGCAAACACCTGCAACAGTAAGGAGCAGACTGCCTCTGCTCATCATTCCCAAGGCAACCAGGCTTGGCATGTTTCCATGCAGCGCAATATGCCAAAGTAAATCTGACTCACGAATCGCATACGCAAATGATGTGTTGTTCTTTTTGGTTTTCGCTCAAAATCATTGGCTGTGGTGATGGAATCTGTTACTGTCATAGTCAGTCCAGGACCTTGGGAATCAACGTCACTGTGCGAACTCCACAAGATGGACCTGACACAAGGAGATCTAGCGAACCTCTCTCCCCCCCACAAGTGGCATGGCTGTTAATGATTGGCAGTTCTGAGACACACCCACGCGTCTTTGATTCTTTGACAAGTCTTCTGAGGAATGAAACTGGCATGAAGCCCACAGGCGGCCGTTTGACTGCAATAGGTGTCACTTTCTTTCAGCAGGGCCATTGACAGAAAGCCACACACTGACCCCAAGTGAAACCAATTAGGAAGAGCATAACTCAGTGCAAGTAAGACTTACCACGAGAATCCGTTGTTTTGACCAACTTCTCTAAGCAACCGCTTGTTCACGCGCCTTATTTGTGGCCTTTGCCGCGATCCTGCAGCTTGTAACGGGCCGAGCTGCATCTAGAGCGCCCGTAAAAATGAAAAGAATCCCTACATTAGCCTCTGAGAGTTGCAAATGAACCTTGATGGTTCTTCTGACCAATTGCACATGGACGAAGTAGGACAACGGTTCTATTGATGATTCACTACGATCTGGATGATTTTGCCTGACTACTTGGCGGCTCGTATTTTGCTTTGTGGTCATCCAGCTCCAGTTGTACAATGGATCGAAACAAATTTTACAGGAGTTCATCTTGAACTAGTTCTTTGTTTGTCCAACTTTTCTGGTTGCCTTCTGTGGCAAATGTGGCTATCCAAAACCAGCCTCTGGGCAATCACGAGCGAAGTGACCAGAGCCACCACCTCTGAGGGACATCGCCCACTTGATATACCATTGCACGATGCGAGACATGGCGAGATTCCACCCAAACAAACGTTTCACCTCTCTCGTTGATCTTTAGCATAGATTTCATCAATTTCAACCAGGTTATTGTCTCTGCCCTCGGATCCCAAACAGCTGAAGCAGCTTTCATCCTTTCCTCCTTAGCATGGCGAGTTGGCTGCAGTGTGGCTGTTGAACTGCCGTTTTTTAAACACTGGTTTAGAACCAAAACATATTCTTCAAAAAGCAGGTACACCTCTATATTTATATATATATATACAAAAACACATATATACTACTGTCTAATGACTTAGGCCAACGTGATGCAAGTGACATACCAATCTGGCTACCCTCAGGGCTAAGTCATGTGCCCTGACATATCGAGCAAAAAAGAAAGTCTGGGTTGGGAAACCTGGTGTCATAGGACCTGTGGTGACATAGGGTGCGACTATGTGTTTTTGCGGGCGCTGCTTCCTTGAATACCTCATATATATTTCTATGAATTTGATGGTTGTGGCCCGATGACATAGGCCTCAAGAGGAAATGCCAATGTTGGATCAATCCTGATGACATAGGCTTTTGGAATTGGCGTGTATGTCCGACAAGTCCTAAGTTACTAATCAGTAGTATATAACTATGCCTCCCGTTGCTCGTTGGTTTGTATGTGTCATCTCTCCCTCTCAGCTTATCTCTGTCTCTCTCTCTCTCTCTCTCTTCTCTTCTCACTCTCACTCTCACTCTCACTCTCACTCTCACTCTCACTCTCACTTTCTCTCTCTCTCTCTCTCTCTCCCTCCCTCTCTCTCTCTCTCTTTCTCTGTCTCTCCCTGTTTGGCCAGCACAATTTCCTGGTCATCTGGTGCTATGATACAATTATTACCTTGGGTGGTTTCCCTTTCCCGCCTTCCATTTCCGCTTTTCATGCCGAATAGCGCTTGCCACCTCCACCGCCATAGCCTTTGCCTCCACCCTTGTCGCCCCAGTCCTTGGACCCGATGGTATGTGGACGGATGAATCATGGCTCTGCGAAAATGTTGTGGGTTTTACAAGTCTGATCAGTCACTCTGGGTCAGTCTATCATCTTAGGTGAACCTTAATGGGTGAGCTCCAATATGCCCTTGACATCCTGCCGGAGCGCCTTCCCTTTGCCACTTCCTTTGTCAGGACAATCTCTGGCGAAGTGGCCTTGACCTAAGGTCAGGGGGGACATTGGTACCACAAAAGAATACACACACGGTTCACTGTCTCAACCATATTGTTTTCAAATTGTTTCATGGGGTTGTTGGGTCCATGGAAAGTGTGTATATAATCTCCTGGCCTCTCAGTTCCACTCAGGCCCCTCACAATTATGACATATGTCGTGCGCCTTTCGCTTCGATTCCCATCAGTGTGGTCTTGATTATTGAGGTCTGCTTTGTAGTGACTCTGTTGAGCACTTTCGGGGCCTCAGCGCTTCCCCTCTGCCCTATATAGGCATTATACAGCTGTGACAGTGTTTGCACTGCTTTAAGTTGGTGACCGCCGCAATGGTAGCAACCCTCGTCCGCCCACTTGCCATCCGTCCACTTGCCCTTGCCACGACCTTTGTGGTGCTGCGCTTTCAACATCCTGAACGTCATTCCATGGTATTAACAACAATATTATGTACAGTATATAAATATGTATCCAGTATATACATATGAGCAACCGCTCAAAACATGCATGACTAATTTAGTGAAGAGGGGCTCAGAATTCTGCTAAAACATGCAAAAGCGATAGGGTCCCCTCAACAGCGATAACCATATTACGGCAGCTTTTGGATCCGTTCAGCTATGTTGACATTGTGGCTAAAGCCTGCAAAAGCGACCGGGCCCCCTCGTAAGCGATACCCTTGCTGAATCATCTCCTCTACTTGACAGTACGTTTTGCCAGACCCTCCTACAATTTCTATGAAGTGCATGCGCATTTAATCTCATTATGTATCATTATATATGTGAGTCATTTCAGACGGCGGGTGAGTTGCCATGTCAACAGTGGCGCTTTCCATCCCTTGATCAAGCCTCCTCCTTTGCGCTTGCCCTTGTCTTGTTGCCTGTCGCAGTTGCAGCGCGTCATGGATGTGCGAACACGGCTAACCAAAAAAGAGTGCACTCCTTTGAGTAAAAGCTTGACCGTCTGGAGTAGTTGCATCGTCAATCCTTTAAAGCTGTTGCAATGATCCGATGCTGTCTAACCGTGCGCTCCATCGACCTGTGCAATGTCAGCTCATGCGCTTCGGCGAGCTGTTTCTTGGTCTCTTGATCCATCTCCTGTCGATTCAAACGATCAATATCAGACACACATACATACCATCACATACAAAGCATCCCATACCTACATTGACGGTGGGAGCAGCCCCCCAAAGAAAGTGTGGACAAGTGTCAGAGCAATGAGGTGCAACTGCAACGCTTTTTTTTATATGTCTTATGTCAAGCCAGGTCAAACTTTGTGGATGCTGCTAAGCGGTTTCGTTGGATAGTACGGCAGTTCCTCTTTGCATCTCGAAGAATTCTGAGCCATGCCGACACTTAGATCCCACACCACGTGTTTTTCTGCATGAGCAGCAGATTCAGGTAGCATATTGATCAGCCCAGCGACCTAAGTTGCGATGATTCGGAAACACCAGTTGTTCTGACCATCTGCCAGCTTCACGTTTAGCAAGACAAAGAAAGACAAAGTACATAAAATCCTTTCGGCATTGGTTGATGCAAACTGGACCCGCCACTGTTGTCTGCTTTGATTCGGGAAGCAGGCTGAGGCTTCCCCAATCGGTGGGTCTTCGTGTTCATGTTTTTTTTGGCTTTTTCAGGCTGCGGCAACATCGTCCACCCATGCCTTCCAGATCTTCCAGATTGCATTTTAGAGAGGTATCTCATGCTTTACTGCAGTCCTCTGAATTTGTGATAGCACCATTGTGCGGTCGCACTGTTGCTTCCATGTGTGCCTTATCCTGTTCCATTGTGCAGCTACAGTAGGAGTTCAGTGCAACTTCGCAAAGACTTTCCGCCTCTCCCTCTGTGACCTTGCGAATGCAAACCTCCAAAGGCCCTGACGCATCGCAGGATGTGGCAGGTGAACAAGCACCATTGGATCATCGTTAGAGGCAAGAACCGCTGAATCACAAAGGATGGGACAAAGGGGGCAAATGATAAATGGGTACCAATGGCAGAACTGATGCTACTGCTGATTGAGGACATGATCCGTGTTTGTCACGTGCCGACTTGGCTGCTTTTGACATCCCAACTCATGGTCCCCCCCCACCCGGATTGTCGAAGGTTGCCATCTTCGCACCATCCAGCCCGATGCCTCAATGGAGCAGTGGGATCTGTTGAAAGGGTCAGACGGAGTTAAACGACTATTGAAGATTGAGTGTTCACCTTGAGAAGAGGGGGGGCAACAGGAGAGGTATGGGATCCAAAGCTGTGGAGCTGTGAAAGCTGTGGAACTGTGCAAATGACAAGTGATCCAGCGGTCCACTAGTCCGTTTTCACTGTTGGTCAAGTGGTAGGTTCCTACTACCTACTGAGACCTACTGCGAGTAAATTTGCACACGTTCACGGAGGAAGAAAAGGGGTAACTGCCAGGTGGTCACTGCCTCGAAACATGTTGAAACAGCGCAGTTTGACCGCTTGTGAAGTGGCAACATCCTCCTGATCACATTATATGACTGATTTACAGGCTAGGCAAGGAACAGCCGATCTTTTCTGTCGATCCATTGATCGGGGGAGCTCTATCTATTGAGTGGAGAGCGCCCCACCCCCGCATCACAAGACAACTCGAGTGGCCCAAATCAAGCTACCTTTCATGAAATCAAAGATCTCTCGGGTCATATTTTCTGGATCAAACCATTCAATTTGGGTGTGCCAGGAATGATGACTCATACCCGATTCATGCGTAATTCTTTGTGCACGGACAGTTTGTCATCTCTGTGGGCCAGGCTGGCGAACAGCTCTGCAATCCTTGGGCCATTGGCGTGCAACGATACAAGACTACCAAAAGAAAAACATGGGATCAAGAGGAGCCCATGCCACTTCTCTGTGTGTGTGCGGGATTTGGTACGTCCAGAAGATTTGGGGTTTGGTTGGATTGCACTGCTCGTGCCTGCCTGAGTCTGATCCCACAATGGTAGGATCATCCAGGCAAAAACTGGCACTGGGCCCCGGTTAAGGTCTAGTGGATGGTCAGTCCCTCCTCACTGCGAGATCAACCGACATGAAAAAGTGTTTGCCTCCGCATCTTAGTGCTCTGCAAGGGCTGGCGACAGTGACCACTTTAGACAGTTGCAACAATAACTTTCAATGACGAGAGTCTTCGCTTCACGGTCGGTGCGGATGAAAGCGGGCTTCTCCTAGCCACGACAAAGATATCAAATCTCAAATCAGCGATCCTCTGGTCAACTTACCCGTTGAATGGTTTTACTTGGTTTTACTGTTTGAATGGCAAGATTCCTCCACATATATGGCTATTCCATCTTCCTGACATGACAAGGCATTGTAGAATGCAGCGAAGCTGTGACTTCGCCATGAGAAACTCTCCTTGAGCTTCCCATCAGCCTCGGACACAAACCCGCTGCAATATGTACCCCCAATCAAGTGTATACAGTATATATAATTGTTGGTGCCTGTGGCGGTTGTCTTTACATCCACTGGCAAGCGGCTGTGATTGTCAGATGTAGAAGGTCTGAATAGCAACCATCAACCTAAACTCTACCCCTGTTAACCGTTTGTCTTACACAGCAGGGCATTGTCGAGACTGGGCTCATGGAATTCATCCTCTTTAGCAGTATCTTGGTACTGCACGCGGAGACCAATCGGTCAAGGTGGGCTCGACTCGATCTCATCCATACCGTGACCAGCATGCCGGTGCAAGAAGCCCTTGCAGTGGAACATGACAGTGAAGTACTTGGCCACCCTCTTGCTCCCTTGGATGGGAGTGGAGTTGCGTGTACGTCATGTGCAGCAAAATGGCAACGTCTTCACTCTACAATCGACAGGAATAGCTCCCCTTAGCACTGCATGCAAGTCCTCGAAGGCAGCCCTTTGAAATTGCAATATGCGTGGAGCCAAATCCCGCCCAGCATGAACAAAGGGCAGCTGCGGGGCAACCATTTTTCTTGTCATTCAAAGCTGCTAAAGCACAAGCGAGAGCCTCTCAATCTCCATGATGGTTCAACAGCCGCTGTTCATCCGACACAGGCAGGTGCAGCAACCTGTCGCGTGAGGAAACCCATGACACGGAGGCTTCATCATGCGGCATGCGTGCAGGTGCTTCCAAGCTGTGTGCCAGGTCAGTTTCCCAGCACGAGCCGACAGCCGACTTGCTGCAAACGTCACGTCATGATCGGTCAGGATCCAAAACAAAGCCAAAAATGTGCCCTTGGTCGACATACTTCCACAAAAAGGCCGCCACAGTCATGGTGGCAGCCATGCCGAAAGGCGCATGTTATGTTCTTGGCATCAACTTGCCACAGGTAAATGAGAAACCTGGAGGCATATAGAAGGTGTCATCGAAGGAAGTTGGAGGCCCGACGTGTAAGTCCAAGTAAAAGGAGAGGCCACCAGCTGCAGCACTCTCATGCTGCGAACAAAATTGCAGTGTCATTGTGCTGTCAGCACTGGCAAACTGCTCAGGCAAGAAAAAACAAAAAGCACAATGCAAGAACAATGTCATGCAAGAAAGAATCACAAGCCCGTACGTACATACAGCAAATCTCTCCGCCAAGATCCGCCAAGTCTTTCGTGGACAATTTGCTCCAGCGTAACCTGTGTCAAGTTTTGAGCCGCAAGTCAGAGTCTCAGGGTAAGTTCCAGTTGTCAATGCCCATGCCGTGTTCATCCGCGATGACCTTTCAAAACTTCGCACCCATCTGGACCAGCCCTGATTTCTAGACATGGACGAGCTCGCAGATGGCTGAAGCGGGTGGGCAAACGGTGCGACTTTTGATGTCGAGAGCAACCGAAAGAATCTACAGTACTTGAAGTCCAAAAATAGCGAGGAACTCTGGCAAGGCACGTGCGCTTCGTGCGCTTGTCGAATCGCCACGACTCAGCACTGAGTGTCCCACAACCAGGCCATCGCAAAGGGCGGAAGCGAGTTCCTTGCCGGTCCACTCGGCCTGGCTCGTGGCTGCCTTGTGGGATCTTGACGTCAGGGGGTGTCAACCCACCTGGATTTCTCAAGAACTGAACGGTGCCTTTTAATTGTGAATTGCCACTGAACCATCAACACGTCAACCAAAACACACCAAGGTGTTGAGACTAAAATCCTAGGCAACCCTTCCGATAGAGTGGTGCCCACAAACCCGCGCCTTGAAAGGCATGATGAGGAAGATGAGGATGCCAACCAAAAAACGCTACCGTCTATGTCGAGCTTCCGTGTTTGAGTTGAAACCTTCTTTGATACCCTTATATACGTCAAGCTAGCGTGTTGGTGGATGATGCAAGGAAGCATGGGAAATTAGACTTGTTGCACTGAGCTAAGAATCGTCACCCCTTAAACATGAACCCAATCCATTCTCAAGGTAGGTTTTAGGACATGCGCAAAGCAGTGCAAGTGAATTGGGCCCCATGTGCTCAACACACTATTGCACATAGTGGTTCAAGAAGTGTTTGTGGTGGATGTTGCATCGCATGAGCTCCTGAGCCGGAACTGGCTTGACAAGGGTGCCACATGCGCGTTAATGCAAGCTGAATCTTGCGGATGCACTTTGTTGTAGCCTCGGGTCATGCCGGAATAAGGTTGCTAGACTGCTAGGGACCCTGACTTTATGTCTATCATCTCTAAAAGTAACAACTCTAAGTGGACCTTTTTTTGGTAAGCAGAACTGGGGATGGGGGATGAACCTCATGTCTAGGTGTTGTTTGGTCGCGCAGAGAGACTGGGTTGCGATTCCTCACTGGTCGATGAGCCTCACCGTCCAACCTTTGACATTTGAAGCACTTCACCTCTAATGGATCTTCAGGAATGGACATGAACAGTCTGCAATTCTGCTGTGCAAGGCAGGTAAAAGCATGCGTTGTGTTGGAGATGTTTTTCCACTTCAATTTCGCGACATTGTTGACTTGAACCAACGATGTTGGAATGTTTTGGACCATCAAATTGCTAGGCTTATCCATGCTTTTTGGCTCGGTGTGAGCTCAGTCATCAATTAAGTGGCCTGTGTATCTGCAAGTTGGCCAAGCACCTTCCCAGCGAAACGGGTTGGCATACTCAAAAATGCGGCTCCCCATGCGTAGAACCGTTAGAGTGCATCAAAAGCTCAAAAGACATCCCACAAAATGTCAAATGCTTGGAAAACTCAAACCAACAGGTGATACACCCTCCAAAGAGACACATCCATATGCAGCAAGTCTTGACAGCTGTTCGCGATTTGCTTTGCAGCGACGCTCGCTGTATGTGTTCCGAGTCTTTCGGTGCTGATGTGAGATCCATATCCGAAAGGGTATCAGAAGTGCTTCGCTGCAAATTCCTTCAGGCTCACTCATCATCCTTGGCTTCATTTGTCGAATAGGCATGTCCCACAAAGAGTGCGACCTCAGAAAAGTCAGCATGGAGTTCAGCATGGCAGCTCCACATAAGCTTTTGAAGCCAAGTAGCACAAAAGACTTTTATGAAAATGTGCCTCAGATTGAAAGGCAACAAGCCTTCCGTCCAGTCACAGCACCACTGGATTGCTTTGTCCGCGCCAAGCCGCATTAGCCAAATGGATCTAACAAAAAAGATCCAAAGCAATAGATGCGCCAATTGCAGCCTCAAAGCCATTTCTGCGTCGGTTGTGTTCAAGCTTTTGTGGCTTTGTCGGTATTCGTAGAACTTACCACCCTGCAACTGATGCACATACTATGATCAGCGTGGTTGGCCAACCCTAAAGCAAACGCAACTCGGTAAATGCTACTGCTAAACTTGACACCCAGAGTTTGAGGAGATTAAAGGAGTGAGCAAGGACGCTACTAGTAGCTCCTAGCATCGCTACTACTACTAGGAACAAGAAGCCACTAGGGAGCAAGTCTTGTCAACACCTCCGGTTCAACAGATCGCCCAAGGGTCCCTCGCACGTGCATAAAGGCCGTGAAGTGTGGCAGTTGTCCACAGGGCAACAGCAGCAAGGCCGTTTGCAGCGCCATGGTCCTAGACCAGTGTGAGTCATGTCCTCCGTTCAGATTACACACAAACGTCAGGATGATGAGTTTTGGCAACCCAAAATCTTCCGGTTTATCATGCGATAAACTTACTTCGGGGTGCAAACGCCTCCGCCGCAGTTTTACTGTGATCGTCTATAATATTCTCTAAAGGAAAGCGGTGGTAGTGGCAGGTCGTGCCTTCATAACTGTCTTGCCTGTGCATCTCGCTGGAATTTTAGATATATATAGTTGTGCCTTTCCCTAAGTACGAGCAAAACTTTGTATATATACTAAAATGTGTTGATGCGCTTGATGACCCATGCGGCCCAGCTGCCACATCAAAAGGCCAAAGTGCGACAAGGAGTGCAAGATTACCAAAACCAAAACGATAGTCAGGTAGAAGGGCAAGAAGCGTGGCAAATTGTGCCTCCGCATAGCGGCGCTTGAAGTGCCCAGCATTTGTTAAAGCTACGTACCCCTGGAAGAGGATGATTCCAAGAGTTTTACTATATTGTTCTTCACTCCTGTTAACTCAGGAGGTAACAAAATTACCTGGCCATTGGCGAGCAAAAGGAATCAACTCTGGCTCTAACTATTCTTTGTGGGCTGCTGGTCCCCCGATCCTTTTCTTGGTAATTGGTTTTTCTGTCTCAATTGGGTTTCCAGCAGGGTGGGAGAATGAAGGAGGAGAAGTGGGTGGGGACACATGGGGGCGGCAATGGGAGCACGAAGAAAAATCTATATTGTTTTTTCAATCTGTGATTCGTTTGTTGTGTTCTTGGTATCCTTGGTTCACTGGTTCTTGCGTTTCGCTTTGCAAGGGGTGGGGGGGCAAGGGTGAGGGATCAAAAAACAAAAATATATATAGTTTAAGGATATATATATATATGTATTTTTAAAAACTAAGGATCGAAAAACGGTATATATGACTTATGAGTTTAAACAAAATATTCAAGGGATGAACAAGACATGAAATAAGGATGGCTGTTAGCATTTATTCCCCAAACATCTAGCTTAGAAAAAAGAGATGGCCACACTGATTGGAAACTGTTTGGGGTCTATGTTGGTAAAACCTTAGCAATAGCAGTGCTGTCGTTGGAGAGCAATGGTAGGAGTATGAGTAGGAGTAGGAGTCGGAGCAGGAGTAGGAGCAGGAGCAGGTGTAGAAGGAGTAGCTGTTGTAGTGGCAATAGCAATAGCAATAGCAAAAGCATGAGCAGTAGCAATAGCAGCGGCAGTAGCAGCAGTAGTAGTAAGCAGTAGTATCAGCAGCAGCAGCAGCAGCGGCAGCAGTAGGAGTAGTAGAAGTGCCAGTCGCAGCCGCAGTAGCAGTAGCAGCCGTAGTAGTAGTAGTAGTAGTCGTCGTCGTCGTCGTGGTGGTGGTGGTGGTGGTAGCAGTAGCAGTAGCAGTAGCAGTAGCAAAAGCAGTAGCAGCAGCAGCAGCAGTAGTAGCAGTAGCAGCAGGAATAGTAGTAGTAGCAGCAGCAGGAATAGTAGTAGTCGTCGTCGTCGTCTTCGTCGTAGTCGTAGTCGTAGTCTTAGTCTTAGTCGTAGTCGTAGTCGTAGTAGTAGTAGTAGTAGTAGTAGTAGTGTCATTGTTTAGTTAGAATTTTGCGTTCTCTTCCTGGCCGTGTATCATATTCCTTTTCTTAATTGACAGTTCTGGGAGCATACTCAGGTGGAAAATATTACAATAAATGCCTGGGCCTTAGTTGAAAGACCCGTCATCGGGAACTTACTGTAGATCCAAAGATAGTTCCAGTACACGCAGAGAAGCATAAAGGGTTTGACTCCAATGTCAATGTATGAAGGGGCCCAGATGTGACCCGGCTGTTACCACTCATGAACTGGCCTTGAAGTGAAATCTGGGATGGAAAGGCTTGGATGTGTAAGGGGGCAGGCGAGCCACTGGTTCTCTGGGCACAGCTCATACAATTTCATAACGGATATAGCACCACCGTCAAATTTGTCGCTGACTTTTCCATGTAACTTAATGGTGGTTCTCTCTTACTTTGATAAGGGCCCATCTGTCTCTTCCTTGTGGCGCCCCCAAGATCCACCAAAATTATTCGGGCGCCACTGGCAAGGTACAAATCACCTAGAATGGCATGCCTTTCCTCCTTCTTCTCTCTTTCCTCTTTACCCTTCATGTCGATTCATCCCTCTCAGCCCCGGATCCAAGAAGGGGCGCAAGGAATCCCAGGCAAGCCACTGTAAGATAGAATGACTGACGCAAAGAAAGCAAAATAATAATGTCTCCACCATGTGTTGCAATCCGGCTGTTTTATGTTTCCCTTGAACATGTGTTTCAACATCAAGCCTCCAAACCAGCTTGGGATAGTTGCACCCGAGCGAGACATAAAAAGATTAGAATAAAAAGAGTGAATATCTAATTACGCCTGCGCCTACGCCGCTTTTGGAACCGACCTTCTTCACATCCTGGCGCTTCCTCCATGCTTCGCGCCGCGTCACGCCGAGCCTCAAGTGTTCTAAAGCATCAGATTGGCCACGTCGAGATCGACGCTTAGGGCCCCCGTCCACCTCCAACGCGAGGAAAGATGACCATTGAAATGGCAGCCGGAAGCCTCCACAAGTTGCGAGTCCCAAAAAGCACCGATATTTTTTTTGAAAGCCAACTCCACTTCTGGCGTGGATTTCTTGCAAAAGTCTTGGGACCAACAAGGATTGCAAGGCAAAGGTGGACACAGCAGCCCAGAGCTAGGCCGAGGCGGACACAGCAGCTCAGTGCAAGGTATAAAAAAAGGAAACAAAAGGGAACAGAAGGGAGACAAAAGGAGACAGAAGGGAGACAAGGCGGACACAGTGACCAACAAGAAGGGAGACAAGACCGCAGACAAAGGGAGACAGAAGGGAGACAAGGCGGACACAATGACCAACAAGAAGAGAGACAAGAAGGAAGACAAGAAGGAAACAGAAGGGAGACAAGGCGGACACAGTGGCCCACAAGAAGGAGAACGGAGACAAGGGGGACACAATGACCAAAAAGAACCGAAAACGAAGTTATACGGGTGTGGTTTTTACGCATTTTTGTGATTTGTGGTTTTCTGCGTTTTTTTGAAAATGTTGGTTGTTTTGAAGAACGTGTCTAGCAAAAAAGTCGACTTGTAATCTGTCAAATTTCTCATCAATCTTATTCAAACATACTAGTTCTCATGATTCCCACACAGAAGTCCATCAATCATCATCTACCAGCAAGTCCACGACATCCCATCATACATCATCAGGTCATCACC